TAGTGCATTTGCACAGTTACAGCTGCTGTGCTAGCTGTGTTTGTTTCCAGAAACATCTGAGTTGGCTACAGTGATACATGCCTTAGTTATGTCCCATTTGGATTACTACCCCACACTATATGGGTCAGTCTTTGAAGATTGTTCAGAAATTTCTATTAGTTCAAAACACAGCAGCCAGACTCTTGACTGGGCCTGGTTACAGACATTATATCATTCATTAATCAATCACATTATCTTCATTAGCTAGCATTCTGCATCTGGGCCCAATTCAAAGTGCTGTATATTACTTATAAAGTCCTATATGGCTGGGTCCAAGCTGTTTGAAAGAGATTTCATCCTCTATACACCTCTCTGACTCTTCTCTTGGTCCCACTGCCCTCAGTCATACCTAGTGAGGATATGAGCCAGAGAACCTTTGGTGGCTATCCCAGACTAAAGAACACTCTCCCAAACAAGGCTGAGTTGGTCTCTTCTATATTTTTGATCTGGCATTGGGCAGAAACTTTCCTTTTTAAGAAGACTTTTAGAAACTGAATGTCGTTTTGGGAAATGAATTTTAGAAGAGGTGCAGTATACTCTACTGTGTTATGTTTTTATCTGGCATTTAACTGTTTTTAATGAGCAACTTTTAATATTGGCATGTTTAATGGTATTTTAATAGCCTAATTTACAATGATATTAAATCTGTGTGTCTTTTAGTCATTTATAAGCCACCTGGGGTCCCTTCTGGAGAGAAAGGCAGAAGAGAAATAAGTAAACAAAGAAGTAAGAGTCCCCACAGATGCAGACCATGCTTGTCTTCAGATTTGGCTCACTGCATTGAGAGCTAGGAGAGGGAAGGTCATATTTGCTTGTTCCCTCGGCTCATGAGTAAAGATTAACTCTTCTGCCAAATGCCCAGATAAGGCTTGTCTGTATGATAATTCCAAACACTCTCATTCACCTAACATTTTAGAATGAATAACACCCAGAACACAGGTTGGGGTTATGCAGGTAGTAGCAGGCTTGCACCTTAATGGTCAGAGTAATGTTCTTTCCTAAAAGCATCCCTGAATGCAACTCTTTATTTCACCCTAAAGAGGTGAATCATCATCATTCATTCCAAAGGGACTGGGTGAAGAAGCATGGCATTGGTGGTGGTGGTGGGGAGAATACCAGCAGAGTACTACAGATAGTAAGCTAGTAAGCAGAAGATCCAGAAGATGTTAATATGAGAGGATGAAGGAAGAGCCAAGGTTGTAGAGACAGGGATAAAATAGAATGTGCACATGTGCAAGAGAGGACATATTCAGGTTATTACACAAGAAAAATACCAGAACACCAAAGGTATATTAGAATTCTGTATAGAGCAGACCAGGGCAAAGTGCGGCCCGCAGGCCACATACGGCCCAAGAGCCGCTCCTGTCCGGCCCGCCAGTCACTGCTCCAGTCTGGCCCGCCCGTCGCCGCTCCTGTCCAGCCCACCCGTCGCCACTGAGTGAGCCAGAGCTCCAGCTCCAGTCACCCACCAGGGCAAGAAGCAAAACGCGCGAGATCCGATGCTGGGATCTCGGGAGTTTTGACTGTTACTCTTGAGCTGCAGGCTGCGGAGCCTGTGGCTCAAGAGGCCGGAAGTGATCCTTGAGCAGGTGACGTGATGACGCATCACGTCGCCTGCGTGGGGTAGAAGAGAGTTGGAGAGGAAGGCTGCGGGGGGGAATGGAGGACAGGTGAGTTAGCTGAGGGGAGGTCTTCTCCCCCCCCTTGTGGTGAACGAATTATAATGCTCACATAGTTAACTCCCTAAAAGGTTTCGGGAGTTAACTATGTCAGCCTTGTAGTTCGTTCACCGCAGGGCCCCACCCAATGGGAGCCTATTACTACCCACCCCCGAACACAGTTCAGATTTTTCATGTGGCTCCCTATAGAATTTAATTGCCCACTCCTGGTATAGAGGGACAGAAATGATCCTGAGAAGATTTCTGTTTAGAGGTTGAAGTCCTTTTTATCTCAGCTTCTACCTGCACCCATGGATTTCCTTCTAAGGCTATCTGAGTAAAAGTACTTACTGACAGTAATGTCGGCACAAAATAAATTTTAAGTGCTAGTCTGAGATGATAATTTTACAGGCCCACGCAAAATTGTATAAAAAGTATGAAGAAGCACACAAAAATAACTTTCAGGAACATTTTTCTTTCATCAGGCATTAAAACAGTTAATGGGGAGGGGGAAAAGGGAGAGGATCAAGAAATGGGCTGAAAGCCTGATTTTAAATCCTCCTCATTTGCATGGTTTTCCAAGGTGTGATTTGGAAGTCAACAGAATCACTCTGATCAGGTGATCTGGTGTTGTTTCACTGAGGATAGCCCAAATCAGACTCACTCAGGGATGTGAAACTGGCAGTGATAGCTATGAAGTCACTTTGATCTCATGAAGCCTGAATATGTCTGAGATGGCACTAGGACAAATAAAATCATGTCTGAATCCTCTTTATATATTTTTGGTCAGAAACATCATGACTCCTAATTTAAAATGATGCTCCATTTTAAAATGCTGTCAGTGTAGATCAGTTCCCTGAACACCATGGCAAGAGGGAAGCTTTATAAATATCAGCTATAATTATGGTAATTTTAGGCACTAAGCATCGTAGAAATCCCTGAGGCTCTTGATGTTAAGTAATATGTGCTCAAGGGCTTCTCTGGAACCCAGCCTTGCAGCTGTGGTGTTCTATTTTCTCTTGCCAAGGTCAGGTCCTGGACAGCAGATGGTGCTCTTGTATTCAGCAGCTGGCTTCAACCCAGCCCACTTTGTCCCTCACCTCTCTTCTGTGAGACAGGGGAGGCGTGTATACAAAAGTGTTTATGTTTCTTCTTCTTCTTCCCTAATGTGTTCTCATACCAAAAGCCAGGCTGTTGAAAAAAACACACAAACCCTCAGATAAGTCTTAGTATTGGGGAAATAGTTTCAGAATCCTGACTCAGATCAAGAGCTCCTTCTCCTTTAAAAACCTTTGAATTCCGGTATCTTTAGATGCTTCTCTGAGTTTCAGTTCTTTTAATCTCTTATTGAAACTTTAAAAAAAGAGATAAAGGAAATCAAAGATTTACCTTGGAGAGACCATCTTAGTGCTGCTTGTTCATAGTGCTGTGCCATTGTGACATATTACTATGACCATTTGGGGAGGGGCTGTTACATATCTCAGAAAGAACACTGTATGAATTGTTACATCAATGACATGTTTTTTCTTGTTCCTTTCTCAGATGAATATGCTAATGCGGCTCAAAGAAGCAGCCAGTTACTCAAGCGCACAAAGCTGCGACAGTGATACTGCCAGTCATCATGATGATATTTTGGACTCTTCACTTGAATCAACTCTCTAGAGGGAATTGGGTGTGGTTAGAGAAAGCTGGTAAACCTCTTGCCACTTCATGTGCTGCTGGTATTTGAAGTGGCATGTCCGCTGAAAGAGAGTATGAGAGCTGTATAGGCAATCGACTTCACTCAAAAAAGTCAGGAAAGGAAATCAAAATGGGAAGTTTGAATTCGTTTAATTTCAAGACATATCAGTATCAATGGAGCTGAGTGAGACTCAATCAATTAACTGGAAAGGGCCTTTAAGAGGGGGACGACTAAGCAGATTGCACATGTATTAGCCAAACTGGAATCTCTGAGTTTTTTCCTCCCCTTCCGGTTTCAAACGTTTACAGTGAAGTCTTTTCTTTTACATTTAAGTCTACTCTGAGGTGCTGCATTGGTGGTCTTTTTGATCCACCTCCTCTAACCTCTGTTGTGCCCCATGGCACTCGTTACAGAACACGAATAGTGTTTGAATTGTACGCTGCTGTCCATTCCAAAATGAGTTGGGGAAAAAGAGAAAATGAGATGAAACTCAATAAGCACAAACAGTATTGTGCAATTGCCAGTGAAACACTATTGTGATATGCTGGATAAGTGCCAATTTGATACTAAACTGCCATGTTTGCAGTGATGTGGTCCATCAAGGTTTCTGAGGGAGGGGGAGGGCTGTGTAAAAATCATCTGTTTTATATACAAGTTGTTTTTAATCACAGGGGTATTTTTTTAAACACCTGCCCACCTCTTCAGAATTTGTTTTTTTAAAAAGCCAATTCTTATCCAACATTGACTAGAAGGCTTTCTTAGGGCTTTGTTTGTTTTGAGCCTTTTCGGTATGTGTTGGGGAAACAGAACATTTCCTATGGTGCTGTCTCACTGCCTTAAATCCGATTTCTAGAACAGTTTTATGGTTGGTTTAATTTGTTAAACCATTGATTATTTACACTGCTTTCTTTTTTCATTTACTAATGAGAGAGCATCAGTGAACTCAGTAGCCTCATTTCTGTATATCCTATTGTTTTTTAAATGAAGTGGCTAGAAGGACAAACTATTGATATAGATATATAGATAGATAGATATACAGTATTTTTTATCTTGTGTGAATAGATTGCTTACCATCAAAAACAGTCAAGTGACCAAAAGCCACTGCCACCTAACTATGTTGGGGGAAAAAGCCCAAGACAGTTGGTTCAAATTCATTTGGTTCTATGGAAAGAGCTTATTAAGACAGAAAGAGACATTTGTTTAAAAAAAAAAAACAAGCTTCCAGCGGAGCTGGTGCACTCGTCGGAGCATGAGCACAAATATTCTTGATTCTTTCCCCTCTTCTTTTCCCCTCCCTGGTTTGAAGCATGTTGTTTTAATTACAATTGTTGTACATGAAGAAATTCAGCATTAAGAAAATTGACACAGTGATGTCCACTGTGAGAGAAGAATTTATACTGTAAAATGGGAGGGGGTTGGTTTTGCACAGTCTACTGGGAGGGTATTGTAAATATAAAAAAAAGCCTTGCACAAATGAAAGCAAACAAACAGCAACAGCAACAAAAAATAAGAAACTGTATTTTATCCTGTTGGTGTTAAGAGATGTTTCATTGACCGAGATGACCTGTATGTTGCAAACAAATCCAGAACACAAATTGTACAATCTGTTTTTCTTTAACCTGGTATGTTTGTCCAGTATTTAGAATAGTTATGACTATGCAGGACCTATCCATGCTGGAGTGAGCATGTTTCAATTTACATTATGAAGCCAATACATCTTAGAAGAAAACAGAAATTATGTTCTCTCTCTTCTGGCAATCTACACTAGAATGAATGAAAACTGATCAGAGTAATTGGATACACTGGTTCAAATCAACTCAGATAATCCAAGGGCTATGGCATTGTGTAGACATGGAATGACACACCTGGATCCACAGTCCTGAAACTGTTTGTTTGAAGCAAACCCAGTTCATTGCTTTCAGATTCCAGATAGCAATGGATATCTTCAGGATATGTAACTGGTGCTACACACTCTTGTAACCATCTTGTGACCATCTCTTATTAAAAGAGAGAGAGAGAGATCAGTGCAGTTTTCCTTGCTGCACAACTGATGCTACAGATATCCTGCATGGTGCTATTGCCCTAACAAATAAAACTCTGATTTTATGCACGCAGAATGTAGTCAGTAATTATTTCAGGCAACAAATACGTCAGGCACCAAATTATTTTCTCATAGGATTAAATGACATGCTGCTCTCTGGCAAATAATTGAATCAGCTGCTATTTATGATATATGTGGTCTGAAACAATGTATGAACTCCTGCCGTGTTTGACACACATGTGCACATACGCCAAACCTGTATGCGTGTGTCATGTAATACAACTATCCCTGCAATACATCTCAGTGAGTCCACCTAGTTTACAACTTTAAAAATTTGTTTGTGAAACATTTGTCTGTATACATTTTATATTTTGTACATTTTTGATGTAACATATCATGTAAATAGACAGAAACAGTGAGATAAATCATCTGAAAAGTTTTGTAGTCTTTGTAAAGCCCTAATAATAAGTATTTGGTGTCATCAGACTTAACTGGATGATGTATTTTCTATTGATTTATTGTTCTTCTAGCTTGTAAACCAGCTTGCATATATTTTTTGCCAGTGTGCACACTGTATCTGTCTAAATTATTACTTTGCCATTAAAGTGGAATTATTTATTGACAACTGAGTCTGTTACCTTTTTCTTCCAGAGAACAGGATAGAGATGCCATGGTAAGAAATGCATACTGACTAATAGGATGGCACAAGCTAAGCTAATCATGGTTGCAAGGAAAACCTTGGTCACAGAAAATTATGATTACTGTACCTTCTTTAACAGCAGCAACTATTTCCACGATAAATATCCTCTTATGTGTAACTGTACATTACCACCCTTTTGAGAACAAAGCATACTTTCAAAGCTTTGAGTTCAACATCTGGCCAATGATGTTAAGCACAAGTACCAAACTGCACAAAGAATTTATAGGATATTTATGGGCAACTAGTTCACATATGTGTAGAACACGAGCACATCCTTCAATGTTGATTCAAGAAGTTATATGTTGTGAAGACCTATAGCTGTGCACAGGCAGCTCTCCAGCTTCTCCTACCCATTTGTGAGCAAAGAGGTAGGGACAATTTCATCATATCACTCTAGGAGAAGGACATATTTCTGAGGGTTTTTTGTGGAAGGGAGGAAGAGGGTTACTTAGCCTTAGCACTGGTTGCAGCAGAATGTCTTCCTTGTTTCAAAAAGAGTTTAAAGGGTTTTGTTGGTAGTGCTACTTGTCAACAATATAGCCTCTCTGTGCGCTGTACACAATCTACAGTGCCCTATTCCTAGTATCATTCTGGGTATCATAGGCTGTTTTTGTTTCTACTTCTTCCATCACTCCATCATGTTTCAGTCTACTTTGGCTGTTCACTCTTCCTGAGGGAAGATTGGGGGGGGGGGGTTAATGACGTACAGGGAGGCTTCAGGATAGTGAAAAGATGATTGCAGAGTATAAGGCAGCACATGAAGGTACATAGATCGCCTTGGCTGTGTGATGCATAAACTCAAGAACCCTTCCAAGTTTGGGCTCTGGGTTGGGTTTTTTAGAATTGTATTCCACTTTGAACACATTTTCAAAATAGGTATGTAACAAGGTGAAATGGGGAAGAACAGTACTAGCTTCCATTTGCCATTGTATGGGATGCCCATTCAATTAATCCCATTTTGTTCTGTTATGCATATGGATTCCTTGTGGAAAGAACCATATGATGTTTACAGTTCTGTATGTTGACATGTTAGTGCTCACATACCTGTATGTACTGATCCCTAGGAGAACCCATGCAGCATCAACATGTCTCACTTGTCTCATGGGCCATTTGTGCATGTGAAAGCCTTAACACAGTCATCTTCTACACAGGGCCCACATATTGCATCTGATGTGACGCAGAAATCTCTAAAGTGTTTGTTTCTCCAGTGCCACCAAACTGTAAATTCCTTTCCAAAATTAGACAAATACAATACCTGAGGTTTGGGTCAACACAGTTGTTTACATCTTCCCCGTCTCCTGTGAGAAAGTGACCCCCTGAAGATTCCCTTGATGTTGAGGGAACCATGTGGAATTTGGGAGAACAGTGGCCAAAAGACCTTTAGGTAGAAGGTGAAAAATGAAAATTGCAGCATGTCATATTTACCAGAGTCCCCACTGCTTAAGGAAGCATTTGGGGATAGCTGCCAAAGACAAAATGTGACAGATCAGAGTTTGCCAGCCCCATTTTGCAGGGCTTTATTTGCATACAATCTACAGGCCAGAGAAAATAGGCAGAACTATGGTCTACTGGGAATTTGCGAACCATAATCCCAATACATTTTATTGCTTATGCAAAAACTCAGAGGTTTTGCCTGTCGAAAAACTTATGAATTAATTTTGAATTAACACATCATACAAATGCTGATGCCATTTCCGCACCAGGTGAAAACCTTCCTGTTCCAGAAGGCTTTTAATTGAAATAATATCAGCTGTGGGTCCAATGGCAATTTTTAGAGTATATATTTTTAATTTCATTTTAATTATTTTGCCTTTTTATTGTATTTTAAATGTTGTAAGCCACCCAGAGACCTTCGGGTAGTGTGGGCGGCATATAAGTTAAATCAATCAATAAATAAATAAACATTCCTGCCTACAGTCTGAAGAAACCTTCATGTAATTGAAAACAACCCATGGGCTTGTTCCACAATTCATTTTAAATTTCCTTTAGGTGAAACTTTAACAGCAGTGACATATTATAAGCAGAGTCTAACAAGTCCTACTGAAACCAATCAAGGACTGTTACAGTGGCCTGTAATATCTGAATTGTGTTAGTGGTGCACTGTTAGTCATACACCCAATGTCTCCCCCGTTTAACTGTAGGTGCTTTTAAGTTCTATCAGTGCTAACCCAAGAGTCTGCTAATGAAAGCATACCAACAATGCTGTCTAGATTATTTGCATTTTAAAGAAAATAATCAGCACAAACACTGGTGGCTGAACAAACTGTAGTATAACACTTAGTCCTCTCAGAATTTCTAAGACTTTTCTGGGATAAATGCTCAAAAGTCCCTACCCCTCTCCAACACCCTGCATTATTTCACTATAACTATAAAGGCTTTTGCCTATTATGTTAAAAAGATTCAATCAGAATGTGTTTCAGAATACTTCAGACACAAAAAAATTTCACATATAAAGAACATGCAGATAATCGTCAAACCATAGCAGTAGAAGGATTTTACTTTTATAGAATGTAATGTTTCTTACTGAGGCCACAAGAATTTAGTATGACATGAGGCTTTTATTCCCAAAAAAAGCATGGGGAAACACCTTTTGCTCAAAGCAATAATATTTAGTTCAAAGCAATGGCACCCACCAAAGTGAGGAAATTCAAGCTCACCATACTCAATGAAATCAGGCATACACTGATGTGCCCTTCCTGCAGCTTAATTTTCTCCCCAATAAACAATACAACTTAATTTTACCAGTATATACTTTAATTAGGAATGCACCATAAGGAGTTTCAAAGAACTAAAAGGAAACACAGGCATAATCGTTTACATGTCTAGAAATAATGTATTTGCAGCACAGTCTTTAACCTGTACTAGCCCAGTCAAATTGATCTGTATTTGGGAAGAAGTCTCATTGTACTTCGTGGGTTTAATCTGAAGTTATTTTTTTCCTCTTCCGGGAATCAAAGAGGAAAACTCTATTACTTCTTTGGATGGACGTTAATGTACTAGAAGACTGCCTCATTGGTAGGTTGATCTGTTTTCTGAATGTCCTTGTTTTGGGGAGGGGTACTAATAGCTTCAGAGACATGGTGGCGCTATGGGCTAAACCACTGGTTCTTAACCTTGGGTTACTCAGGAGTTTTGGACTGCAACTCCCAGAAGCCTTCACCACCAACTGTCCTGACTGGGGTTTCTGGGAGTTGCATAGCTTCAGGGAGGTTAAGAACCACTGGGCTAAACCACAGAAGCCTGTGCTGCAGGGTCAGAAGACCAGCAGTCGTAAGATCAAACCCACGTCACGGAGTGAGCTCCTGTCATTTTGTCCCAGCTCCTCGCCAAACTAGCAGTTCGAAAGCATGTAAATACGAGTAGATAAATAGGTACCATCTTGGTGGGAAGGTAAAACGGCGTTCCCTAGTCATGTTGGCCACATGACAATGGAAACTGTCTTCGGACAAGTGCTGGCTCTACGGCTTGAAAATGGAATGAGCACCACCCCCTAAAATCGGACAAGACTGGACTATTTTCACTAATAGCTTCAACCAACATTCACTCTAATTCTCGTGATCTCTGTGCAGAGTCTCTGTCTCCTGCATGTGGGGTTCCAGGCTCAAACAGAAGTAAATAGGCGGACACACTTGTTTGGCTACATACACTTGATGGAGTGGCATGCCCCCACTCAGCTTAGAGGGAATGTTTGCTTCAACCATCATGTTTCCTCTTCAAGGAATTTCTCTGCTTTTCAGAACATATGAACACATAGTGTGCTACAATGGAAAAAGTTAAGTCTACCTTTATGGCACAATTTAAGGTAAGACATTTTTCTTTAAAAAGTAGACATGGTCTAGAGGGGCGGGGTAAAAATCCAATAAATAAATAAATAAATAAAAAGCCAAAATATAAATAGAGCAACATCAACATAAGAGCATGCACTCCCTGTACAAACCAGACAAACTTCTCCCAGTAGGTTCTAGCTAGATCTAGGGAATCTACATCCATTCAAACAAGAGATGGGGCTGCTAGTTAAAAGACTATCTCTTAAAGAGTCTGCATACAACAGGTCATTAATTATCAAACTGACACTTACTGGGTGCTGATGTCCTGCTCAACATTTTCCCTTGAGAAATACATTCCAGGAAGAGAGTGTTCCACCAAAAACTGAATCCTACCCAAGGGGAAGAGGTTTAGAAAACTATAATTTTCACCCCAGAATTACCACTCTGCATTGTCTATTTGAATAAATGATATAACACAAGGGTTTTCAGAAGGTGACATGGTTGAGGGATAGAACTGCAGCATAAGTCAATAAAAACTATAATCTTTTTTTAAAAAAAGGTTTTTAAAAGGTTGCCAAAATGAAAACAAACTACTACAAAACAAAGCAGCAAAAAAATGGAACTCTGCCATCAGGACTAGATCTGCCACACTCCCACTGGCACATCCTTTAATTGATGAGGACTGTAAAGTTCTAGGCAGCAGACCACTGATGCTGGATTTAAAATGGAAAATTTTCCAGAAATATGTATATATGTAAAGTTTGCACTTTGTCTTAGTGATGAAGTCACTGGTAGCTGCACAGACTGTAACACTTCCAGTTCTTCAAAGCAGCAAGTGTACACTGCAGACACCACTTAACAAACGGGAACTGTGCCCAACTCAACAGCATCAGCCATGTGTCTTTGGTATAGCTTCCTTCCTGCACAGTCCCAATATGGTTGAGATGGCACTAATTAAAGAATTTCTATATTCCCATAGGGCTTTTTACAAAGAAGGATAATTTACTTACAAAAGTTTTGAGAGCCAACTTTGGCCTTTCAGATGTTGCACTGTGAATCCTACCATCCCTAACTACTTCTCATGGTGGCTGAGAAAGATGGGAGTTGGAGTCCAAGGTTACCTAGATCACCAGATTTACACACACACAC